ATAATATTCTTACATTAGAAAATATATTTCAAATGAATCTACATCAATATAATGATATTATTCAAAATAATTAGAATTTTTCTCGAACACGATTCAAAACGATTGTTGAAGTGCATAGGATAGAAATTTGTATCCATTCCCTAACACATCATAGCAGACATTGTCATGGAAATGTGATAAACCGTTTATCAATAAAATGATAGTAAAGCAATGTATTCCAATATAGAAAGAATAAAACAATGTCCCTGGTATAAGCAACAGTAATTACATCGTGTTTTAGCTTTTTAAAGTAAAAAATGAAAATAAAAACCAGTACTATATCAGTATGTACAATTTTGGTGTAAATACTGAACAGTAAATCATCAACACACAGTTCACTGAAAGTACTGATTATAATGGCATCGATGTCTATTGAAGCACAGACTATCCTGACATTGATGTTCGCTGCACCATAGAGATATCATTCATTGAGTCGATGATCAATAAACTGATATTGTACATCTCTACTATTGTATAAAATAAAATAAAAAATGTTGATTTTGAAAAATTTCATTTTCAAATCCATAAACATTATCGTCATACATTAGGTACAAATATTCAACAAGAACGTGGTTCAAGCACTTGAAGATTCAACATTACTTCTTAATAGTATTTTTATATATTGTTTTCTTTTTCAATTCTTTTTAAGGTATAGTAATATCACGTTTCGTTGGTATCTATCTTTTACAAGTTGAACAGTGGATTCCAATATTATCTTTAATTTCTGATGTAATTAAATTATGGGCAATTGTAGAACAAAAATAGATGTATCTGGAAAATACATTTATTGGTTCTAATTTACAATTTGGGTATGGATGTGGGTGTTGAAGTGGTAACCGCTGTAGAGTAGAATTACAGTCACACCCAGTCTCTGCTTCAGATATCAATATAGACTTACATGCTGTATAAATACTGAGCATATTGCCCTGGAATTAGTAATCTAGATTTTAACGTTCACGAGAAAATGCATTAACATTAAAAACTCAAAAGAAAAAAAATATTTCAAGTTGCTTTTAGCCGATTACTGTATTAAAATATATTCAGTCCTGTAAATTTGGTTTCTTTTTAAAGGTCTTGTCTACCTGACAAGCTGCATACGAACCGAAAATAAATAAAAATTAGTACGCTAGGAATAAATAGGAAACAAAAATTCTGTTCGAAATATCGAAGTAAAACAAGACAAAAAAATGTTTCTCTAATTAATCGATTAAATTTGAAGACAATGATCATTTTTTGAGCGATTCTTCAGCTGATGTGATTTGTATTTAATTTTATTATTTCATTTCAATTTTGTATGTTTTGTTAGAAGAATTACTATTCACTTTAGAATATTTTAAATGAAAACAAAAAAATAAAAATAATGTTTTTAATTAGTGATAATCAGGATGACCAGATCTTTTGAAATAAAGAAAAAGTTTCTGATTTTCTTCTGCATTCTGAACTCTTTTACATTAGTTTCATTTGTAACGTAAAATATAATTATAACTTAGTACTATAATGGTGCTCAACTTGAAATAAGAATGAGTAGCAAGTATTCTTGCGAACAATTTGATAAACATATTTTAACTCGAACATACTTGTTAAAACAAAATAGAAATTTCGTATCAACTAAACAATATATTTATTACACTGTGTTTCTTTACAGTTAAATGCCTATGAAAATAAAGTATAGGTCCATAAAAAAATACTAGTAAAGCATTTGCTATTAGCATATTAACATAATACGCCAATAATTTGCACAAAAATCCTTTTTTTTGAATTATCCTTGATTTCACTTGAAAAAATTCTCACTATTTTCTAAGTTTCAAGTTTTTGATCTGGTAATTCTAATGGCAATGTTGATTTTTCTTTGATGTATTTGAAAATTTGTGTATGTAATTACTTTATTAAGACATATTGAACAGTGAGAGGTAAAATAAATGTAGATGTGGTACGAAGAAATGAAAAATGAATAAAAATAGCGATAAATTGATCAAGTCGTCAATTATGTTTTGTGTTCATCTTCGATGATCAATCATGTAATTGATGTAAATGAAAGACATTACAATATGAATGATTAATTATTCGTCAATAATCATTATTCATTTGTAGTTCATGTCTACAACATAATATATAAGGAATGATTTTTCTTATATGAAATCATTCTATTCTCAATCGAACATATCATCGTGAACAGATTAAGTAAGTATTTTAACAACACTTTCTTTTAGGTGGTGCAATA